TATAAAAATATAGTAATTACATAGAATTATATTCGAGGGTCAGTGAAAGTATAAAGGAAGGAACTTCTCAGTTTACTGGTCACCTTTATAAGTACTCCTTTAGTATGGTAAACCATCTCTCAATTTTCAATAACTGGAAAAGTACCTTATTTATAGTTTATAGGCAATGTAAAACTCACAAATATCCAAGTTTCTCTCTTAGCTTTGACATCTAGGAAGCCCAGCGGCAAATTTTCAGTCTATCTCTTTATAGTTGAAGTCTATAGAACTTAGGTAATTTTTAGGACTAACCTCATACTTTATATTATTTATATTTCTACTTTTACTCTCCCTTTGAACTTAGTGTGTCTCACTCATTTATTTTGTCTTGTTACCATGTATCTGTTTTATATTATTTTGGATATTTTGTGGAGCTAGGAAAGGATGTAGTTTAATAAATAGACCCACAAACCTATGTATGCCTAGGAGGCATCAAAGGAGGATTCACGGGGAATGCAATCACAAGCTGAGATGTGCAGTTGAGGATGCCTTTTCCAGTTGGTAAAGGGGAGGTGCCATTCTTAGCATAGGGAACAGTGTGTGCAAAGTCATGGAGCAAAAGAAAACCACAAGCACTTCCAGAATTTTGGGAGCCTAAGTGTGTCTGTGACAGGGAAGTTGTGAGAGATGATGGTTATGCACTCACATCAAACCATAAGGGATCTTCATGCTTTGCAAAGGAGTACAGGATCTCTTCTATATAAATTCAGAGCCCCGGAAGGATTCTAAGCAGGAAAGTGATATAGGTATTCAAATTTGTTTCAGAAAGATTAATCTGGCAGCAGCATGGGGTAATTTTAAGGCTAATTAAAATCTGCTTTCAAAACTTCTGACCCAGCCAGCCAGTGAGGGCCTGCCTTCTCCTACCCTGAGCGATGGTCACCAGTAGATTTTGACCTCTGACTAATGAAAGTGAATTGCCTGATGAAAATGTTTTGAAAGTGGATCTAGAAGCCTTGGGACAGAGCTTGATATAGCTCCAGACACTTAGATAAGGATGAGGGACAGGGAAGGGGGGAGAAAGACAGCAGCTAAGGAAGTGAGTCCCTAATCCATGCAAGCCTGCAATTCCATCATTGAACATTCTAAGGTGGAGTGTGCCCATTCCACCCATTTCAGGGGGACCTCCTAGGGAAACAGATCTACTCAGCCACAAAGCAAGGTCTTGCCAGCCACCTAATCAAATATATTTCTTTGCCTGTGAATGTCAATGGACTAAAGATCACCGGACATTTAAAGAGAACATACAGATGGCCAATAAACATACGAAAAGATGCTCAATGTCACTAATCATTAGAGAAATGCAAATTAAAACCACAATGAGATATCACCTCACACCTGTCAGGATGACTATCATCAATGAATCAAAAATCAAATGTTGGTGAGGATGTTGAGAAAAGGGAGTCCTGTGCACTGTTGGTGGGATTGTAGTTGGTGCAGCCATTATGGAAAAGAGTATGGAGGTTCCTCAAAACATTAAAAATAAAACTACCTTATGACCCAGCAATTCCACTTCTGGGTATTGATCCAAAGAAAGCCAAACCACTAATTTGAAAAGATACATGTACCCCTATTCACTGCAGCACTATTCACAATAGCCAAGATATGGAAACAATCTAAGTGTCCATCAGTAGATTATTGGATAAAGAACATGTGGCACATATACACAATGGACTATTACTCAGCCATAAAAAATGAAACCTTGCCATTTACGAGAACATGNCTTCAGAATTTACCTACCTTTGAACTCTTTAATCCACACAGCTTTACATGTCAAAATTCTTGTGTTCCTGAGTTTTACCTAAATAATCCTGAGTTTTCAGGTTCCTATGCTAGTTCTCGGCTGAACATCATTCAACAATGAGCTTATTCAAAATAGTAGGTTAATGTGCTTTGTTGACTATCAGAGCAACAGACCACTGGCTTTCGTTTTAGGCTTCAATCTTCAAGACATCTCTGCTGAATGCCGGAGGTCAAATGCAGGTAGAAACACAAATCAACCAGCTCAAAACTTCTTTTCTTGGAGATGGGAGGGAGGGGAGGATGAGGAGTGGAAACAGTTTAGAAAATAAAAGTTCTGATGTTATTCTGAGTTACATTAACTGGTGGAAAATATTATTTCAAATGTTTTTGAATGAATGAAAAACTCTTATAATGACCAATCTCACCTTGACCAGGTCAACATGTATTTTATTAGCTAATTCAAGTATCCCCTGATAGACTTACATGTTCACGGTTTCTTTCTAAATCACTTTTTAAAAACTAAGCACTGCAGTTTTTAAATATATACAGGCATCCAATTCCTTAGATGTCTCAAGAGTTTGCCTGAACTACACACTTTTGAAGCTGATCAGTGACTAGGGGTGACGTAAAGGAACCAGATACTCTAGTAAACGATGTAAAGGCGGTTGTGAAATGGTTTTTCCTCCAGGTCAAACTGTGACTTTCCTGACTCCCTGAAAAATATCAAAGCCCAGCATTTCGAAGCCTATCCATCCAGGAATGTATTACAGAGAATGCCAAAGGGCATAGACTCTATGTTATACAAAGAATGTTTGAAAGAACAAAAACTGTTAAATCTAGAACTTGAGGAAGGCTGAGAGTTGTTTGTTTTAGTATAACTTCATATACAAGTAAGAGATACCTGTTCAAAATGGTTTAAGGAAAAAACAGATATGTTGGTGCAGGGACTCAAACTATGTCATCAGAACTTAGTCTTTCTTCCTCCATGTCTAGGTTCTATCCTTTTCTATGTTAGCTTTCTTATCAGCCATGCTTGGGCAGCACCTATACCTCCAGCAACCCTAGTGACAAGGAGAATCTAGTCTTCCAACATTTCCAAAACAATTCCTCGACTCATTGGCTCTAAATGATTTGGCTTTGGTCCAATCCCCACCCTCAGCCCTGCAGAAGACGTGGTTGAAGGAAAGGTGGTTCTTTAAGGAAAACCTTTTTACAATTCCCACAAAGAAGGGGAGAAAGAAAATGGCAGGCAGGCAAAAACAGCAAATGTCCTACACTGCCTTCAAGTTATGTGGTGGACTCTCCCATGGTTAAGAGGATAAACTCCTATGAGGCCCCAGAAATGGGAAGCAGGCCACTTGCGGGAACCTCACAGGAAAGCAGATTTCAGCTCACTCCCAGAAAGGACCTTTTCACAATCAGAACCCTTAGCGGTTGAAATGAGCTGCCTCCACACATGCTGTGTACCAGGTCCCTCCACATGTGTAGGCACAGGCCAGGCGGGCAGCTGTCAGTAGTGTGGTGCAGGGAATTCCTGCATTAGGCAGGGCTTTGCCTGCGTGACCTGTAAGGTCTACAATTCTATTATCCTCGTTAATTTCCCCAATTCAATTTGCAGTACAGGATAAACAAACCAACCTAATTTGATCTGGAAATTCTGCAGGCTATCACAGGTCATTTAATGTAAAACACATGGCTATAGCCATTACTATGTTTTCTGAAGTCATCTAGCAGACGTGGTCTTTAACTAGGTCTCCATATTATTAGTTTCACTTATGGCTTTTTCCAGCCTCCCGCTTATTACACAATTGCCTTTCATTCTCCTTTAGATTGGGGTGGAGAGAAGCATGAAAGAGTTCTCTTCTTTCTGCCTTTCTCCTCTCAAATCTTAACATAGGTGAGTCCCTCTTAAAATCACATTGCTTACAACTTTACCTCCAAATTTGGCTTTCACTTTGCAGGTTTAAGACCCTATGAGAAATGGGAGCAGAGGCCATGGAGAATTATAGCTCTGGACAAAGTTTATTAAGGCAACTAAAAATTAATGTATAGTCAATTTAATATACTGCAATGTTATTAGAATTAGGGTACCAACCACTTAAGCCATACTCAGGAAGAAGCCAACACATTTGTATTAAAATAGGATGTGCTTTCTTTTACAACTAAAAGCACCCGCAAATAAAATGTGGTTTTACCAGGGTATGTCCATCCTTCATAACTGATTATGTCCCTTGTCTTTTTCAGTGAATGTTGTGTCAATGTTACAGGAATTTTGGGAAAGCAAGCAGCAGCAGAAGGCTGCGTTTCCAAGTGAAGGTGTGGTGATCTATGAGTCGCTGCCATCTCCTGGACCGCCTTTTGTGAGCTATGTGACCCTCCCTGGGGGAAGCTGTTTTGGCAACTTTCAGGTAAGAAGCAACCATAAATGGGTCAGTGAATGTTAATAGATTTAAAAAGAGTAAGCCGCTTTATAAAATGGTAACATTTAAGTTTTCTTGGATGTAGTGAAAAAAGTTGTGCCATATTCCATTACATATACAGGAAAATTGGTCAGATGTTCCAGTTTTTTTGAAATAGAAGTGTTTTATAGTAGGGTGTCCCCTGATATTTCTTTATGGAAAACGAATGTTATAGCATTTTAGTTGCTTGGTATCTGCTGCCTTTTCCCTCAAAATGTTTCAGAATATAACTTAAAGTACAGAGGAACTTTGGCTAAGTCCTCCCATCATGGCCCTTCCATCAGTAGAAAGTCTTCACTTTCATGAATTTTACAATTAAAAGCTAATCAATGTAATACACACCAAAGCATGAACCAACAGCAAAGGTTGATCACAGGGCTGGGTTCAGGCCCTTATCCTTAGCCCAAGTTCTCCATCTGAATAACTCTTGGGAAACTAATTTAACTTCTTGATTTCCTTGACTTTGAGATGGGGAATAACACCCACAAGGGTCGGTCAGGAATCATGAGATACACATGTTGTGTGTTTATTTGGTACAGAATAGGTATTCCAATGATTGTTTTCATAATTATTCTAAAGACTCCCAGTTGGTTAAATATTTATTATGTTAATGATGGGTGTAAGCAATGATTCATTTCTAGTTGTACACCTCACACAAAAACATTTGCCTGCTTTAACCATCAACATCTGGTTATCCAGTGTGTGTAACAAATACTCATTGAGTGATTAAGAACTATCAAGTGCTGGGCCAACTAATGAGGACATAGTCCATACCTTGAGGAAATCAATGTATAAAAATATAGTAATTACATAGAATTATATTCGAGGGTCAGTGAAAGTATAAAGGAAGGAACTTCTCAGTTTACTGGTCACCTTTATAAGTAC